GTTTAATGAAACTGCTTGTTTCTCAACCCAACTGTTTGTAATTGATTGCAACATCTGTCAACTCTTTCTCTGTCCACTTCCAGCCACTGTGCGCTGATCAGCATATTCATGAGCTGTTTTGCATGTCAGCATCATGGCATGCATAATAAAGTGAAATACTTATGAATATTGATGAGCTTAAGAGACCACTGCAGCTCGGCAGGGAATCCAACTCAAATACTTCAAATATTTTTAAAGTGCTAGTTATGCTATTTGCTGTGATCCCCATATGGACTTGTCTATCTGAGTATGGAATAGTGTGATCATATCCCAAAGTCAGGGCAAAATCTGATCTGACTTCATTGATGGATAAGTAATAATTAGATTGAGTTAACTTGACAGGAATCTTTAAGGGGCAAGCGTACCATTTGGATCAATGCACCTCTGAACTTGCCTCTCTTGTTCCTCCTAATCTCAATATCTTGCATCTTCACTATGTTGGTGTTTCCCAAGAGTCAGTACTTGGCCCCTGTTTTTCTTGGTCAATGTTAATGACTTGTATTTGGGTGTACAATGAACAATGAGGAAGATAGTGGTAGTGGAATGTGTTGAGAACAATATAAATTTAAGGTTGTAATTCTAATAGGGATGCAAGAACAGGGAAATTTCTGGGGTACATGTGCACTAATTGTCAATGGTGGTAAGCATATGGGGTCCTGAGCTTTACAAATATAGGCGTAGAGTACAAAAACAAGGAAATTTGAGTCTTTATAAAATATTGGTTTGGCTTCAACTAGAGTAAAATGTCACATTCTGTGAAGATTTGAGTGTCGGGGACATTTGCAAGAATGGTTCCAGGGATGAGAAACTCTGGTTATGTAGATATAATGGTGAAACTGGGGTGGGTCCACTTAGAGAAAGGAAGATTCAAAAGGGCTCCAAATTGAGAGGCCTTGACAGAATAGCTAGGAAGAAACTGTTCCCATTGACAAAAGGGTTGAGAACCAGAGGAGATAAATTTAAGCAGAAGAAGCAAAGGTAACTTATAAGTATTTTTACACAGCAAGTGGTTAGGGTCTGCAATGTGCTGACCAAGAGCAAGGTGAAGACTTGATTTTCGCTTTAAAGCAAATTTGAATGAACACCCAAAGGGAAAGAAAACCGGATTATGGGGAAAGAGCATAGCAGTTGGGATGAGCTAAATTACCTACGCAAGGACCTGAAATGGACATGGTGGGCAGAATGACCTTCTGTGCTATAATCATTCCAAATCTCCCAAAGTGTTTTTTTTTCCCCCAGGACCTCAAAAACTGAGAAACTGCTCTTTGTCTTCAGCTATTGCGTCTATTCACACCTTGAACATTTTTTCATTTGAATCAGATCATGACTGTTCTATATTTCAACTCCCATCCAGCTGGGTTTCCTCCTGTTAATGCCCATGCCTATTGTTCTTGGGTCTGAAACATTCAATTGACTCCCAGACTCCAGTACTTTTTGGTTTTTGATGTTGCCACTACCTTGTATCTGATGAAATGCTTTCTGGCATCACCCTGGAACAGTCTAGATCTAATTTTAAAGTTACAACCCCTTGTTCTCAACTCCAACTCATACTTTAACCTTTTAAGCTCTACTTGGCTTGTTCTTTGCATGAAAATAGTAAGAATGCTCAGCATATCTGTTCCCCAGACTTTGACTTCAATTGCTGTATATCTCATTGAAAATAAAATGTTAATTGTTGGGGATACGGTATTTCCATCTGAAGATTGCTGGGAGCAGTGAGTGTGGTTACAACAGTGAGCACGCCAATTAGTTAACATGGGTACCCCTACAAAGTAGGAGAGAGTTAAGCTGTTCAACCTCTTGAGCCTGCTTTGCCATTTGATGAAATCACAAGGAATCTGATAGTAGCCTCTACTTTCCTGTCTACCCTCTGTACCCTTGTTAGTCAAGAATTGATCAAATTTAGCCTTTAAAATATTCATTGAACCTCCCACCACTATTCTCTGGGGGAACAGAAATCCACAGACTAATGACCCTGAACTGCAGTTAGTTACAATCATTCAGGTACCCACTTTGTTTCTCATTTATGTGCTGCCCCTTGATATTAACTGAAGGCATGGTTTTAGTTTTGAAATGCACACTGATAAATCCAGCTTTATCTCCTCACCCCGCTGTTGCTAAATTATCAGACTGTGTATCCAATGTCCAGTATTTGATGAGCAGAAATTTCCACCAATCAAATAATGGCAAGACTGAAGCCATTGTTTTTGCTCCCTGCTCCAAACTGTATTCCCACACCAGCAACTCCATCATATCACTTGACTTTGCCTTTGTCTCAGATCATCTGCTGCTGAAACTTCCATTTATGCCTTTGTTACATCTATATCGGACTATTCCAGTGTATTCTAGCTGCTGCTGCCTCATTCTATCTTACATTAACTGAAAGTCATCTAAATCTCTGTGTATCTTGACTTGCAGCAAGTCCCATTCTATTGTCATCCTTGTGCTCACTGACCAACATTGACTCCTGATCAAGCAGCCAGTTGATTATTTTTAAAATCCTCATCTTTTTCAAATCTCTCTTTGCAATCTCCTCCAAACCCATACCCTCTGAGATAGCTGTGCCTTTCCAATCCTCCTCTCTTGTGCATTCACAAGTGTAATTGTTCCATCTTTGGTTATGCCTGCAATTGCGCTGCAAGCTCTGGTATATTTCCCTGCACCTTTCCTCCCTAGCAATTTACCTCCTTTAGGACACTTCTTAAAAACCTACCCCTTTGACAAAGCATTTGCCAAACTGACCTAATATATCTTTAGGTGGTTGTGTTATATTTTGTTATACTTTGATTTATTATGCTCCTGCGAAGTGCCTTGGGACATTTCATTACGTTAAAAATACTATATATATTTAGATTGTTGTATCACTTTCTGAAGAAAACAATTGCATTTACATCATTTTTTTCATGACCACTAGACATCTCAAAGTGCTTTATAGTCAATTAAGTAACTTTTGAAGTGCAGTCCCTGTCATACTGTAGAAAAGAGTCTAAACAATGCAATCTTAAAATGCTTTTTGACATTGCTACTGAAAAGGGAATAATAGTGGAAAGACCAATTGATAATCTGTGGTAAAATGTATGGGATTCTAGGTTTTATGAAATTGATAGTGCTAAAGCAAAGAGGATATGTTGAATTCATACCAGTTATCAGTTGGGCTACAATTCCAAAATTAAGATTTAAGATTTGGTTTTTATTCTCATCAACCTGTGATTTTTGTCCTCATTTGGTTTAATGGATAGGAATACCATGGTTTGAAGTCAAAGGAATACTTAGAACAGGGAGGAGGGAGGCTTCTGCTAAGCTGAAGTGCTTGTTTTTCTCACTGGAAAAAAGTGAGAACATGTTCCTTTTCCTGCACTGAGATCAAGGTTCACTCTTTTGGATTAAGTCAACAATATTTGAGATGTTAGTCTTGAAAGCTCCATCTGACTCCCAGACCCTGCAGATTTTTGTGGGAGAAAATTCCAGATTTCCCTTGCCTTTTGTGTGAAGAAATGTTTCCTGGCATCACCCCTGAAGGCCTGGCTCTAAATTCCTTTTATCACTTTAAACATCTCAATTATATCAGCCCTCAATTTTCTATACTCATGGGAATGCAAGCTTACTCTATGCAAACTGTTCTCATCATTTAACTCTTATCTCCAGTATAATTCTGGCAAATCAGTGCTGCTGATTTGCTCTTCATGAGGTATGGTATCCAGAACCAAATGTAGTTACTCCAGATTAAGGATCGCTACAACCGAAACATCCCTTCTTTCCTGTTGAGGTAAGACTGTAATCATTTAGTTTGGGTAGGGGATGATAACAAGCATGTAACCATATGGTGTACCAACTTAAGCTAAAAAATGGTTCCTGGCCAGAGATTCTGTCTCCATTGTTTCATACTTACTAATGAGATTCCTAGTATCTTGCGTACAATGGCAAAGGGAAAAAGCAAATGCCAGAAGTCTGAACTAAAATCACAGAATGCTGAAAATGCACAGCAGGTCAGGTGGTTTCCGGGGCAAGGAGGAATAGATTTGTTTGGGGTGAAACTTTTTTTTTGTCATTGGAGCTCTATGCTTTGCCCAATTTTTTTTTTCTGCTTTTCCAGCATTCCTTGTTTTAGCCTTTTTCAGGTGAATATATTTAGCTATGAATAAAAATGGAAGAAAATGCACTTCCTCTCCACAGCCATCTATCTTCATCTGACAAGTATTTGTTTAAACTTTTTTTGAAGAAGTATCTGTAAACTTTAAGAACATCCCTGCTCCTTACTTTGACTGTTTTCCTCTTAAAGAGAGAGTCTCGCTGTCAACACTCAGTTGTTTTTATATAAAAAAAACTGTAGAGAACCATTATTAACATTAACACCCGTTTGCACTTTCTGTACTTTTTAAAAAAATTTCTTTTTGTTTAACCAGTAACATATGATGACATTGTGGATACGGTCTTGGAGGGTCACTGGTTCAAAAATGGTGTGGCAACAAAACTCTGGTCAGTTGAACAAAAGCAGAAATTGCTGGAAAAGCTCAGCAGGTCGGGCAGCATCTGTGAAGAGAAATCCGAGTTAACGTTTCAGGTCCGGTGACCCTCAGTTGATACCATTTACCCGGATGCTTTGTCTTCACTTTTGAATATGATTTATTTTACTCGTGTTGGCCTTAGTAACTCCTCCAAAACTCTTTGCTCTGATATTGCCATCAGCAGTCACTGTGGGGATGCAGCAGGGGCGGGGCTAGGGTGGTAGGGAGGGAGGGAGGAAAATAGTGATCTGGAATCAAAGTTAGCCCTAGTTTTTATTAACTGTTTTTGTTTAAAAAGGTTTCCTGATGAGACTCCACCTTGAGGCACAGTTCTCCCCCCTCTCTCTCTCTCTCTGCTATTGCACCGTGCATGGCGTAGTTTTGACATAACATTCAAGAACAATGAACGTTCCAGTTCCTGATGGCAGGGGAAAGAAGTTTGGTTGATTTCCATTTTTAAGAGCAGCCACATCGATCGACCACCATGCCTGGAATTTGACCGTTGATGATCTGTTGCTTGTCGTTAAAGTAAAGCATGTTGATGGGCGACATTTTGGTAGGTGTACAGCAGGGACCTGCTGAGCCCCGGGCATTGGCATGGTGCACCAAGTGGGTGTGTGGGTATTTCTGCATGAACATATATTCGCATTGACCAGAGCAGTAGTTGGCTTTGTATCGTTTGGGAGCAATGATCCAGTCCCAGCCAAAGGCCTCAAAATCAACTGTTAGTGGGTAACGGCAGCAGCGTGACTCTGTGGAGTGCTCATCGCAGTCTAGCCCCAAATTTCGCCGAGTACGTTTATTTGTTTCTGCCACTTTGACTTCCAGAAATGGTTGCTGTTAAAAGAAAAAAATATTTCTTTTTCATTGTGCATTGATGAATCTTTCTGTCGCCACTGTAGTTGTAAATCTGGTCTGCTACAGTAGGACAGAGATAAAAATTTAAAGACCGATACAAAATGTCTTAATTTCCTCCTCTCTTAGTTTCATTATGCCCTCCATGTGCAGTGCATGAAGCAAATGTATTGTTAAAATTCATGCACTTTTAGCCATTTTTAATCCACGACTAGGTTTAAGACATTAACTATTTTTAATTACCAATATTCTCAAATCTAGTAAGTGGTATAAATATTTAAATTTGCATACTTTTAAATACATTGTTAAAATTCACAATACTGGAAGTCAGTTTAAAAACATGAGAAAATTCATGAAATCTCAGCAACAATTTAAATGTACAAATCGTGATCAATTGGGTCAATGGGCTCAGATATGGCAGATGGAGTCTTAATTTGGATAAATGTGAGGTATTGCTTTTTGGTAAAACAAATGAGCAGGACATATGCAATTAGAAGTAGAGCCTTGGGTAGTGTTTGTAGAACAGTGAGACCTAGGAGTTCTGGTAAATAATTGTTTGAAGTTTGTGTCACATGTAGACTGTGTTTAAGAAGGCGTTTAGCACACTTGCCTTAGTCGCTCAGACCTTCAAGTATAGGAATTGGGACATCATGTTGAGGTTGTATAGAACATTAGTGAGGCCTCTTCTGGTGTGCTGTTTCCAGTTCTGGTCACCCTGCTATAGGAGGGATATTATTAAACCGGAGACGGTTCAGAAAAGATTAACCAGGATGTTGCTGGGAATGGAGGGTTTGAGTTAGAAGGATAGGCTGGGACTTCTTTCACTGGAGCATAGGAGGTTGAGGGGTGACCTCATAAAGGTTTATAAAATCATGAGGGGCACAGAGAAGGTGAATTGCAAAGGTCTTTTTCCTAGGGTGGGGGAGTTCAAAACTAGGGGGCATATTTTTAAAGTGAGAGGAGAAAGATTTTAAAAAAGACATCGGGGCAATTTTTTTTTTACACAGTGGTTCGTGTGTGGAATGAACTGCCAGAGGAAGTGGTGGATATGGGTACAGTTACAATGTTTAAAAGATATTTGCATAAGTACGTGAATTAAAAGATGTTTGGAGGGATGTGGGCCAAGTGTGGGCAAGTGGGGCTAGTTTAGTTTGGGATTATGGTTGGCGTGGACTGGTTGGACTGAAGGCTCTGTTTCTGTGCTGTATGACTCTACAGATGCTCGAAATTTGAGACCAAGACAAGAAATGTTAGAAATACCCTACAGATCAATAAGCATCCATTGGAAGACCGCCACACGTTTTTATATAGCCCTATATCCAGAATGGAATTCTTAAGCATGAATTTAGATTCTTTGATTCTAGCAATTATTATTACAATTCTTATTAGCCATGTTATGTGCTTTATTACAATGGACCTAACCCCCTCAGCCCATTTTAAATGCATTGCTAAAATTCACACCTGCTAAATAGACACTTTTTAGATTTATTGTTCAAATTTATATACCCATACTTCCAACAGTCTGACTGAATGTGCTATTAAAATTCATATTTTGAGATCCACATTTACATATTCCTAACAGCAACTTACCATTGCAGGCTGGGAGGAATGCAGCCCCCAACCTAGTAAGGAGAGACTACTCGATTCAGATTTCCCATTCTGTGTTCATGCTTTAAATAAAGGAAAGTTATAGTGGTACATCTAGATGGATTCCCACTGATGTACCTTCTATGATTCTATGCACTTGCTTTCCACCATGTGGATTAATTAATAGGACTGGTCAGGTGAGACCAGGTTTGCAAAATGATAATGGTATGCTGTATAATAATCATTCACAAACACCTCACCATTGACTTCAATGAGCAAAATTAGTTGCGACAGTCAATGTCTATGCTCACTCATGCAAAATGGCCACTAGAATGCTGTAATATAGGGTTTTTGGTGCCTGTTGAACTGTACCTCACCATGAATCAATGTCTTCAGCAGCATAGGGGACTGAGTGTGCTTGCAGTGATGTGTATGGAGATATCAAGCATCAATACAAATGAGAGTGAAACATATTGTTGAACATGCAGTTTAAATGTGGAATTCTCTAGCTGTCATGAGGAAAGAAAAATCTAGATTTATATAGCGCCATTCACCGCCCCAGGCTTTCCCAAACTGATGTATAGACACAGATACTGCTTTTTTAAAATAGTTGTTATGGCAAAATTGCAGCTGCCAATTTGCGCTCAGCAAGGTCCTAAAACAGCAATGTGATAAATAACCAGTCATCTGTTTCAGTGATGTTGGATTTATTTAGGAAACCATTGTGGGAGTTCATTTAAATTTCCTGCTATATTGCCGCAACCTTAGAACAGTGCTTTCCTACTGCAGTTTCATTCCCCACCGCAGTCATCATTGTAGCCTCAGTGCGATTGTTAATTGCAGAAGATGTGTTCTGAAGTTCACATTGAATCTGGCAGAGAACCACGCTTGTCTACTTTTCCCTCTTTTTATTACTTGGTTCTCATTCCAAAAAAGTGTGAAAATTGAAACAATTGTTTTATTCCGAGACATCTGCATCCCCATCTTAACAGCATTGTAGGTGCATTTACATCACAAGGACAGCAACAGTTGAAGATGGTTCAATACCACTTTCTTGACACAAATTAGGGGTGGACAATAAATGCAGCAATATGCACACCTTGTGAAGGATTTAAAAATATTGTTTGTGAAGGGTTGTTCATGCCTTCAGACAGAATTAACCAGTTTTTTCACCAATAGATAATTAAAATGATCAGGTAGGGATTAACCAAAGCACTGAGCTAGAGTTAATCCAACAGTGGAATAAATAAAACAAACACAGAATGCTGATGAAACTTGGCAGGACTGGCAGCATATGTGCATAAAGAGAGTTAATGTTTCAAGTCCAGTGTGACTCCCCTTCAGTAATACCAGACTGAAAATGTGAACTTTTTTTCTCTCCCACAGGTGCTGCTAGACTGCTGTGTTTCAAATTTCCAGCATCAGCAGCATTTTGCCTTTGAGTGCAACAACTCTTTGGCATCAGTGTTAATCAAATCACATTCTGTTGTCACTACCATGGTTCTGTGCATAAGACTGTGCTACACTCACCAGTATTTTTTAATCAGATGAGCATTGATTTTTCTCCAGAATATTTATTTTTAAATAGACAATAACAGTAACTATGAAAAAGTTCACCTGTGCTGTACAGTCCTCCCCCTCCAAGTAGTGCTTTGCAGATCATTACAATGTGCTGCATAAGCATTTTTCTCCTCCTATCCCTCTCGTTCTTTTGTCAATGATCTTAAATGTGTCCTCTAGTTACCGACCTGCCTGCCAGTTGAAATTGTTTCTTTATTTTATCGGTCATGATCAGTAACGTAGGGTATGGCTTTGGTGACTGAAGACATCACAATGTTTGAGATGCTTTTGAAACTCAAGGAAACTGTATCTCCTTGATACAGAGGACTTAAAGTGAACAGTACTCACCAGTCCCTTCTCTCCATTTCCTGGAGATGTGATAGCCAGGTCATTGCCGTTCATATCAAAGGCGTTGATCTCAATGCCCCAGTTGGCGTGAGGTTGCTTGAACCAGTTCTGCAGCACATGCTTAAAGTCGATACTTTGCCAGCGCCCGTTGCGGGAGTTCAAGTCTATTTTTAAGGATCGGATCCGTGAGTGCCTGCTGCCTTTCTCCGTCACAGGTTTCAGCCTGAGGATCTGCAGGTACACCGTGGAGGTGTGCAGGACTGGACGCAGGTAAACCCAGAGGTGAGCTCGCACCACGTTTGTAAATGTTATTTTGGGGCTAAATTTAAAAAAGCAACATTTTGGGCTCCCATCCACTTGGACACAGGGTTCAGCTACAAAAAAAAACAAATCACAGAAGTAAACATAGCCAACTGAAACATATCTGATTGGATATTAATCTGATCCAAGCATAGAATTTTAGGCAGTTTTATTATGCAAAGGAGAACAGTCTGTATCTTAAAAATAAAGTTATCAGGAACTAAACTGATTTCTGGGTCGGGTGATACCCAGACATAAAGCATTATATTTAAGGCAAGAAAGCAATTATTATTCAGTGTTTTCCTTTGAACTGGTGGAATGCAATGTCAGAAAATAGTTTCCAAGTATTAAAATTAAAACTGTTCCTTCATCGTTCTATTCTGTTGCATTATGGATAGGCTCATTTGGTTGCTGCTTCTGGCAGATCACAAACTATGCTCACAGATCAGACATACTTTTCTAAAAGAGGTATTCAATAATGTGTGAGCTGCAGTGGTGGGAAAGGATGTAGAGAACAGAGCGACACTTCACTGTAGTCATTCTGGATTTATAACACCCATGTAGAGACATGCCAGTTAATAATATTATAACAAACTTTTTTTTGCTGAACCAGTCAGATGCAAATTTTATGGCTAGCCTTTGATAAAAGCATCACACATTAATCACATTTCAATATTATCTCCAGCAACAACACAGCTATCAAGTGAAATGCATATAAATAAAAATGTCTACCTGCATGTCCAATCATTTTTTTTCATTCTAAATTCCCATGTGCCACTTATCATGGAAACTCTGTCAATATCTTATGCTATAATTCTTCAACTGTTTCATAATGTATGAATTAGGAGCAGGAAGGGACCATTTGGTTCTTTGCACCTACTCTGCCTTTCAACAAGATCAAAGCTGATCTAATCTGTGGCCTCAACTCACCTTTGACTCCTTTGTTAGACAGAATTTACCCTGCCTTAAAAGCATGCAACCTGCAATTCTGCCTCCTTTACTTTCTGGGTAAGTATATTCCAAATATTTATGACTGAGGGAGGAAGAAAAAAGGTTTCTCCTCATCTCCATCTTAAATGGAACAATTAATCAATCACCTTCCCTCCATTTATAAAGTCAGAGTGGGGTTGTCTGCCAAAGTATGTCCTCCATATACAAGGCACAAATCCGGAGTGTGATAAAATCCTCCCCATTTGCCTGGATAGGTGCAGCTCTGACAATCTTGTTTTTTAAAAAAATCATTTGTGGGATGTGGGCGTTGCTGGCTGGCCAGCATTTATTACCCTGTCCCTAGTTGCTCCCTTGAGAAGGTGGTGGTGAGCTGCTCCCTTGAACCACTGCAGTCTAGCGGCTGTGGATTGACCCACAATGCCATTAAGGAGAGAATTCCTGGATTGTGACCCAGCTACAGTGAAGGAACAGCAAGATATTTCCAAGTCAGAATGGTGAGTGGCTTGAAGGGTAACTTGCAGGGGCTGGTGTTCCCATGTATCTGCTGCACTTGCCCTCCTTGATTGAAGTGGTCGTGGGTTTAGAAGTTGTTGTCTGATGGTCTTTGGTGAATTTTGTGGAGGTGAGGAGTGGTTATCCAAAAACATCAGGGTAAATGTCCATAATTATGCAGAGCGTAGTAATGATTATAACAATACTCAAGAAGCTCAACACCATCCAGGACAAAGCTACATTATTTAACAGGCATGCCTTCCACCATCTTAAGTTACTTCTCTGCCACTGAAACACAGTGATGCACAAGATATATCAGAACAACTGCAGGCTGCTAAGACAGTACCTTCCAAGCCAACAACCTCTACCACCTAAAAAGATAAGGACAGTAGGCTCATGGGATCACCACCACCTGCAAGTCCTACACCATCCTGACTTGGAACTATATTGCTATTCCTTCACTTGTGGGTCAAAATCCTGGAACCCCTCCCTAACAGCACTATGCATATACCTATACCAGATGGACAGCAGCAGTTCAAGGTGGTTCTCCACCACTATCTTCTCAACGGCAATTGGGGTAGGCAGCAAATACTTACCAGCAATGTCCATACCCCATGAAAAATAGCTCATACAGCATGGAAACAGACCCTTCGGTCCAACCAGTCCGTGCCCAATATAATTCCAAACTGAACTAGTCCCACCTGCCTGCACCTGGCCCATATCCCTCCAAACCTTTCGTATTCATGTCCTCATCCAATTGTAATACATACATTGTAATTGTACCCACATCCACCACTTCATCAGGAAGTTCATTCCACATACAAACCACTCTCTGTGTAAAAAAACAAAATTGCCTCATGTCTTTTTTTTAAAATCTCTCCTCTCACCTTAGAAATGTGCCCCCTAGTCTTGAAATTCCCTATTTTAGTGAAAAGACAACTACCATTAACCTTATCTGTACCCCTCATTATTTTATAAACTTCTATACGGTTACTTCTCGATCACCTATGCTCCAGTGAAAAAAGTCCCAGCCTTTCCTTATAAATCAAACATTCCATACCCATACCCTTCCATACATTATAGTAGATCTCTTCTGAACCCTATCCAGATTGATGATAATCTTCCTGTAACAACTGCAACTACCTCTACCCTCTGCGATCAAAAATAGCATCAATGACACCTCTTGCATTTCCCGCACTTCTGCTCTCAAACCCCCTTGTCCTCACATACCACCCCACCAACTTCCGCATCCAGCACATCATCCTCTGCCACTTCCGTCACCTACAATCCAACCCTATGACCAAAGAGATATTTCCCTCCCCACCCCTATCTGCCTTTCGTAGGGACCGCTCGCTCCACACTCCCCACTAACCCCACCATACCCAACACCTTTCCCTGCAACTGCAGGAGGTGCTACACCTGCCCCTACACCTCACCCCTCACCTCCATCCAAGGCCCTAAGCACACTTTTCATATCCAATAGGGGTTCACCTATACATCCTCCAACCTGGTCTACTGTATCCATTGTACCTGATGTGGCCGCCTCTACATCGATGAGGCCGAGCGCAGACTCGGGGACCATTTCATGGAGTATCTGTGCTCTGTACACAATAAACAACACCACCTTCTGGTTGCCAACCGTTTTAAACGCCCCTCTCCCTTGGTGATATATCTGTCCTGGGCCTCCTCCAATACTACAATGACACCATCTGCAAATTGGAGGAATAACACCTCACGTTCTGCCTCGGGAGCCTACAGCCCCATGGCCTTAACATT